TTCTCTCTCTAGCTCCCAGAGATTAGGATGCTGCAGGATCTCTCTCCGTAGAATAGATTTTTTTTAAAACAAACAGCAGATTAATATTAACTTCAAAGGTGTCTGAATGCAGCCAGTCTGGTGGGGGCAGGCTATCCATATTCTTCTGAGGCTTAATTTATACAGGTTAGGTTTTCCATTCATCTCACATTGGATTCTGACAGTTCCAAACTTGAGAAACCATCTAGCCTAGGGGCAGGAAAACAAGACCATAGAACATACACATTCTTGGATAGAGTGCTATAAAATGTTTCAGACAGTAAAACCTAATGTAGCCAATTGACTTTTATTGCAGAAATTGTGTGAATTCTGTTGAGAAAAGAACAAGTCCTAAACAATGTTCTCTGACATCAGTCTTTTTAAAAGCCCCATCCGCTAATTGTTTTGTTATAATTAGTCTTCCATTCTCTCAGGGTAGGTCTACACAGCAAAGTTATTTTGAAATAACTTTACCAGCGTCTACACAGCCAAACCGCTATTTCAAAATTAAATCAAAATAGCGAAGGGCTTATTTCGAAATTGGTAAACCTCATTCCACGAGGAATAGCGCCAATTTCAAAATTGCTATTTCGAAATAAATGCTGTGTAGATGCTTATTTCGAAATAGAGGGCCTCCAGCCCTCCCCAGGGTGCCCTGGTGGCCACTCTGGGCACAACCAAGAAAACTCCTCTCCCTCCCTCCCCCGGAGCCCTTAAAGGCCAGAGTGCCTGTGCCAACTCCAAGCCTGCCAGCCCAGAGCCAGCAGTCACTGCCCCTGACCCAGTGGTCCCACCATGAGCCAGGCAGCTAGTGCCAGCCAGCCCTCCGCTGCTCCCCAAGACCAGTCTGCCAGCTCCCAGGAGCTTACCAGGGGCCAGAAAAGGCAGGCACTTGTTTGGTTCAGTGCAGCGATCAGGGACCTAATTCAGGTTTGGGGGGGATGCCTCCAACGTCCATGATCTCCACACTAAATGGAGGAACGCAATTGTCTACAGACAGATGGCTGCCAGCCTAGCCACCAAAGACCACATGCAAACCCAGGAGCAGGTTCGCATGAAAATAAAGGAGATGCGGCAGGTGTATGCCAGGGCCACAAGGGGCAGCTCCCAACCAGGGGCAGACCCAGACCTCTGCCCCTATTTTGATGCCATGGACCGCATCCTGGGGGGCAGGATGGTCCGTGCCCCCCAGGTGGTCATCAGCCTTGGGGCAGAGGGCCCTGACCAGGGCATCCAGGAGGAGGAGGAGGAGGAGAGCTAGGAGCCAGAGGAGGCCATCATCACCACCTAGATGAGCCAACCCCCAAGCTGCCCCAGCGGTCCTGTCATCAGTGTCATCTCAGGCCAGGGAGGCAAAACATGTGAGTGCCATCACTGTTCCCTTATGGGAGGGGGGGACGGAAACCAGGGACTGTGTGTCTGGATCTTGCTATCCACGGATCATCTCTTCCTCCCCACACTCCCAGGGGCGCCGAGGCCCCTGCATCCGCAGTGCTGGGAGACAGTTGGGCTGGCAAGACCCCCAACCCTGAGCCCTGAGCTTCTCCTCCCACTTCCTCCCCTTGCCTCCTCCTGCCAGGTTTCCCCATCCCCTCTCCCACCCTCCCCTCTCCCAACTTCTTTCCCCAGTCTCACTTCAGATTCATTCCCCCTCACCCCAGTTTTGCTCAATAAAGAGGCTTTGTTGTAATGAACACGTGTCTTTTATTGTACAGTAGGAAGGGGAGTTGGGGGGGGGGAAGTGGAAGGATGTGAGGGAGGAATGAGGCACAAGCCCCCAGTGGGGCACACCAGGAAGACTGTTACTGCCTGCAGAACATGCTGCCAGGCTCACAGCAACACGTCCAGGAGAAGCACCAGAGTGCCTAGGGGCAGCTCTGGCTCCATGTTGCAGAGTGCTGTGGTGTCCTGAGTGAGGGCAGCCAAAGCACGCAGAGGAAAAAAAAATGCTTTGCTGTCCCTCAGCGAGGTAAGCAAGCAAGCAGGGAAACTTTAGAACTGGCTGCTTGGGGAGGGAGGGTTCCTTTAAGCACAGGTCTCAGATAACTTGTGTGGCTGCTGCTTGAGGCTAACTCCTGACCTGATGCCCTGCCAGAACCGGTTCCGGCCGGCCTTAAATGCGATTCAGCATCCTATCAGTGTGGACGTGCTATTTCGAAATAGCAAAATGCTATTTGGAAATGCATTTTGTGTCTAGACTTGTTATTTCAAAATAAGCTATTTCAAAATAACTATTTCGAAATAACGCTGTAGCGTAGACATACCCTCAATGTTGAAAGTTTTTTTTCCGTTCCAAGTCTCTGATTTTGTCTTTAATTGTTTAATGAACATAGATTTCCCATAGCCCGGAGGCTTGAATGGAGCAGAGATTTTTGGATAAGGTGCTGTAAAGAACCATTCTTATTTGTATCATACGTAGGGGCCCCAACTTTGGTCAGGATTCCATTTTGCTAGCTGGTGAGAGAGAGTCCCTGCCTCAAAAAACTTGCATTCTAAATAGATAAGATGGACAATGGAATATTATTGCTTTCATTTCCTAGATGAAAACTGAGGCACAGACGGATTAAGTGATTTTTTTTGTCCAAGGTCAAACAGCCAGTCTGTGGCATAACTAGGAGCTTAACCTACATCTCCCAAATCCTAATCCACTGCTATTATAATGAAATCCTCTTTCCTCTGACTATTTTGGCATAGGAACCAGGTTTCTTTTAAATATGGTCCCATCAACAATGGCTTCTTCTAATACAGTCTGCAAATCAGTATAGATGGGGCCAGTGTCTATTAGAACCATGGTTAAAAGCCATGTTCTAGCCTGCCTAGATCTTTAGACCCCAATTCAGAATTTATTAGGATTTTCAAGAGACCCCTCCCTCTTACTTGAC